CCCTATTTGGATTCGGATTCAAACGAACTAAGGGTAAAACAAAAGAGGGAGACAATCAGAAATATTTGAACACTGCCTGGAAATTTGATAATATTAAGGAAATGTTGGTTTACTTAAGGTGGGATAATATTTTAGTTATTCTTAAAGACTTCTTTATCTTTTTGCAATACATACTGAATCATGTGTGGATCAAATTATATGATGACTTGGATTTGCTTGGAAATAAGCTAGTAATGATTGCGGTAGAGTAGCGCGGGACAGAAGGTGTGCGTGTAGATGAAATACAACAGACAAGATTTGATCATTGTTAAAGTTGGGCGAAGAATATTACACTGTTCTCTACTTTGAAGTATGTTAGAAATTTTCCATATTGAAAAAGTTTAAGCTTCCTACTTTAAAACTGCTACATATATTTTTCTTGATATTCCTCCCAAAAGTTTGAAAGCAGCAGAAGGAAGGTCCTATAAATTCCTTCAGCCAACCAGAAATTTCCATTAAACTAGCACTTTTGAGTTTTCTATTACAGTTGAAGTTAACAATGATGAACCTAAGGCACTCTGAAACATTGAAAGATTAAATTATGTTCAATAAAATTTTAATTTTAAAATGGATCTTGCTGTATTCTAAGTATTTGAAAATTGACAATCCATGGCAGGTATCATTTCCTCTTAACCAGAACACTGCATTCCCTAATTATGTCACATGTCACAAAGAGGTTTTCCATATCCTTAGCTAGACAAGTGAGACTTTTAAGCAGAATTTTCTTCTTTTGTGCTTGTGAAATATATATATATATATATATATATATATATATATATATATATATATATATGTCCATGTGCATGTGTGCCTCACCTAATTTTTGAGGACACCTTTGGGGGGTTGTTATTTTGAAACTCTAGCACCCATAAAGCTTCAACCACTTAACAAAGTAATTATTACTTAACAAAGTGCCATTAGTACTTAATTAACAAAAAGGTGGCCTCACGACAGGATAAAATCAGAATCTGTGATTGCATCCCTTATCCCAAACCCATCCTACCTTGTTATTTATTTAAAGAATTGCTGTTCTTTTTGTAATTGCATGCTATGGTCTAAACAATCAATTTTAGATCTGTAATTCAAAACACAAACGGGGCTTATTTAACCAAAAAAGCACTAACGTTTATGACCTTGATTTGATTTAAACCATGCTTTAGTGAAATATCAACCACTTTGTAGGGAAATATCAGAAAACCTAATAATTTTGTATTTGTAGATCAAACAACCAGTTAAGTAGTTGAAATTTTCACTTTTCTAAGGCTACAGGTTGTATTTGCAAAGAGCTTCAATGATAGATGACTCATTGTGAGGCTATTTTAATTACTCTTTGAAGCCAATATCTAGTATTTGTTCCCTTCTTTATAGAAATTCATCCATCATTTGATTACGTCTTCCCAAAAATAAAATCTGTGCCAACCCACACATATTTCTATGAGATCTAAGAAGAAATCATTCTGTTTCAATCTGTTGGTGTCCAATCTCAGTGGGTGGGAAACTGGAGATTCTCTCATCCTGGTTGATTAGCACAGAGGTACAGTGTCTCTTCTTATGACAGCAATTAGGATTGAGAGACATAGAGAAGCCTAAACAATCAATCAAGTTTTGTGGTCTGCATCCTCCACTCAGACCATAATTCTGTTAATTTTGTAGAGTCTGACATCTCATTTTTTTAAACAATTCTCATTAATAATAATCATATTCATGATAGCCCAGCACTGTGCCAAGCACTTCCACATGTATCAAATCAGTACCTTCGCCTTTGGGTAGGTTTTAATATTATCCCCATTTTACAAGTGAGGCAACTGACACTCAAAAAGATTGAGTAACTCACCGGCAGACCGAAGCTAGTGAAACAGTAGCTGAGCCAGGATTTACATCCCCGTGCCTGACTGCAGAGCCCGGTTTCCTAATGATATTCCATCACCATTGGGTTCCTCCTTTGTGTTGGACACTATTCCTAAGAAGATCACCATCTTTAAGACATATGGAAGTCAACTGGAGAGCTCAGCATGAGAGCTGGGTCAAATAGAGCAGGTTTCTCGAGGAATAATGATATGACTTCAGAGACAGGAGGGGGTTCCAATCAGGAGAAATGGGGTCAGAAGTTTGGCCCCAGTAATACCAAAATGACTGGAGTCTGCTTTATCTCAAATAGAATGTTTGTGGAGAGTCTGGCTGAGGCTGACCTTGACTGTCAGTTTAAGGAGTTTAAACTTTATGAAATTATGGTATAAAAAATAATGTAAAACATTATATTTGGTTTCGTTCTTCCAAGTGTGGATACTGCTATAGTATTATAAAATTGTTTGAAAGCAATTGTACAGCTAATACTTGATTTTTTTTCTATGTTAATATAGTACATGACATGTGTCTATTTTACTTTTCTTTCAGAAAAACTCCATTTCTTCTCTTTTAAGAAAAAGTTCAAAAAAACCCCAAACAAACCTTCCCACCATCCCTTAAAAAAACAATGCCTGCAATGTTAAAAACCATGGTCTATGCGTTTACATTTCCTATCACCCCCTCCCACCCCTGCCCCGTAACTGTCATCATTAGTCAGATAAGTAAGCAGCATAATATCAGAGAGGTAAACAAAATTCAGTGGGCCTTTTGTTCAGTTTCCTGATTTACAGCAAAGTGTTCAGTCCCTCAAGATTACCCAGCTGAGTTATCTGTCCTCCCACATGCTGTGAGGCCTCACAGTCCACACACAGGCGATAGAACCCATGAAAACAGCCTGCAAAGTGACGTGAGCTATCTAATGTTTACACAAAATTAATCATAGAGACAGCACAAGCCAATCTGCCTATAAAAGGAATTATAAGCTATTTCAGCTATGTTGGTCCTTTACATGTTTAGGCTTTGGAACCAGCAACCCCTACTCCCCTCCATCCTCTGGCAGGGTTTGGAATCAGAAATATTGTTTGATAACAGATCATTAAAATGGAGACAGGGCAGTGCCTTCAGTTAGACTTGGGGCTAGTCAGGGCTCTACACTGATAGCTTATGTTATTTCGTGAACTGACAATAGGTCTCTGAAAGCCCAAAAGGTGAAATGCTAAAAACTCAAAGGGGTATTTACACTTGCAGATGGTAGTAGATATTTTGTTCTCTCCTCTGGGGCGGTGAGGGTGGGGGGAGGGGAGGGAGAGCTCTCCAATGGACGCTCCTCACGAAAGGGAAGGTTTGCACCAAACTCTTCAAGGTACTTCTTTCTCAGTAGTGATACACTCCCCTTAGCTAGTTACAGCCACCAGTGTCCAGGTTTCGCCTGCTTGTAAGCATTCAGGTGAAGGATAACATTCTCATTTTCCAACGTGACTTAAGCCACCTCTGGGAGAGACTTCTCCCACTAGCAGGTGGGGTGAGAGGACAGACTAGGATAACACTGACCGTCTCTGGACCCTTGAGAGTTGCCCTAGGGCTAAAGATACTGTTCTGACTCTCTCTGACCTGTGTCAAACTGACTGGCAGCCACTTGCTGTCATTTCCAGCCATGCCTCTGTCCCCGAGCTATGTGACCAAGCATAGGCTGGCAAAGAATTCCCTATGGCAGAGGCATTGTTTTTATTAGTTTCAGGGAATCTGCATTGTCTTAACTAAAAGTAAAGTCACAGAACACATTATCATACGGCTGTGGAAATTTTGAAAGGTGCCAGATCTTATACCTTAATGCCTAAATCCATACTTTTCTCTGTCCTATTCCTTTTCTCCTTTCCAATTCTCCCATGGCCTCTGTTGTAAATGATGATGTGCTTTACACATCCTTTTGCCCTATCACACACACACACACACATGTCATTTTGAAGAGAAATACTTATTCAGCTTTTGTCCTCTCACTTTTTATCTCACCAAGCGGCCTCAGCGCGAACGTTCTAAATAAGTGTATCAATTGAGAGAAAAATCCATTCTACTAAGTGGAGTCAAACAACTAGAATACCACTTGGCAATAGTAAGGACCCAATTATTGATACAACAGCTTGAATGGATCTCAAGAGCATTAGGCTGAATGAAAAAAAATCAGTCTCAAAAAGATCACATACAGTATGATTTCATTTATATAAAATTCTCAGAATGATAAAAGTATGGAGATCGAAAACATCTGGTTTTCAGAAGTAGGGAGAAGGAGGTGGCTGTGACTATGAGTAGCCCAAGGAGACCTTTGTGGCAGTGGAAGTTCTCTATCTGGGTTATAGTGGTGACTGCACAAATCTCTGCATGTGACGAATTGACATAGAAACTATGCACACATGCTGTATCAATGTCAATTTGCTGGTGTTGATAGGGTCAGAAAATTATGTCTGAGTAACTATGGGAAGAAACTGGGTGAAAGGTATATGGGGCCTCTCTGTGTTACCTTTTGCAATTTCCTGTGAATCTAGAATTACTTCAAAATAAAAAAGTTAAATATATATGTCAACCAACAGTATGGACTCCTCGGCTCAGGGGTATAAATATAGCACAGCAACACATACCAACCAAAGTGTCAGATATATATTTTTAAGTGTGCTGTTACTAAAGAATTGCTTCAAAAGGCAAGAATGAATAAAATAGTGACGAAATGTGTTCTCAGGACTCGAGTAAAATCGCTCCATTTATGTAGTGCTCTGAACCACTTGATTGCTTTTCAGGCATTCACACCGTGAAGCTTGAAACACGAGCCCTTTTAGTTAGATCACTTTAACAATCAAGGTCAGTGTGGTCATATAGTTTACAAGAACACTCTGCATCCATATATCACATTCCCCCCATACGGAAACATTCCAGAAAATAAGACCACAGCATGTGTAGCCATGCAGGCGACGTGCCTTAAAACAGAAAGGGCCACACTACAGTCGCTTCCCTTAATGAATCCCTCTCTCTCCCCTCTTTTTTCAGTTCTTTGCTACATCTCCTTCCACGTTCATCTCATTCACTCGCCTGGTCTCTCAGCCAAGTCATAGCAAAAACGGGCAAACCTGTGAACGGTGCTGTGTCCCCCAGGCGTTGGCCTCCCGCAGTCCTCCCTGCTCGCCGCGACCCAGCTCATGCTCCCCGAGCCCCGCGCACGCCCGGCAGCCGGCAGGACGCACGCGTCACCCTAGAGCCAGGAGCCACAAGCCACCAGCCACCACCGGAGATGCTGCTGGGCAGGAGTACCAACACTGCAAACAGAACAGCAGCCCAACCAGCTGTCAGCCAAAGAGGCCTCGTGGTGAGTTACATCTTTTTTCTTTTTCTTCTTTAACATTTTTATAGTACCGTGAGTGTACCCAATGTTATAAAATTATGCCAAAACAAAGAGCAAAGTCCTTGCCCTGAACAGTATGCAATGTAAAAGGCACCAATGACGCAAGGCGAAATGACAGGACAAACACAGGGTGGGTAGACAAAATTAGGCGTGAAACGTAAGATAGAATCAATAAGACTTTCAATGGACCCGAAAACGGAAAGGCTACGTCAGGGCCCAACTCCTCACAGCAGGAAATAGAAATAAAGATGTGCAATAGTAGCAATAGTAATAAGTCACATTTTTGAGTGTTTATTATATGCCACGCCGTGTCATTGGACCAATTCTATAAGGTGGGTACTATTATTGGATCTAATTGGAAAATTAGGGTTTTAAAAAACTGTTTAACAAATACCTCTGATGCTTACAAAGTGCCAAATATGAATCTAAATGCTTTACACATATTAACTCATTTAATCCTCATGAAATCCTTATGAAATAGGAATGGTTTCCTTCATTTTACAGATGAAGAGAATGAAGCAGTCAGGTTAAGTGACTTGCTCAAGGTCACTCAGATAGAATGTGGGAGAGCCAAAACTTGATCCCAGGAAGTCCAAGTGATACAGCCAAGATCTGAATCCCAGAAGCCAACTCTGTGATGGCTCTAGGATTATATCCACACGCCCTGACTCCCAATCCTGCATGCTTAATCATGTGCAACAATGCACTCTGATTTAAGTAATTTAATTTAAAAATCTTTATTGATCATAAATGATACACAAATTCACTTTGCAAGAGCCTTTAATATTGCAATGAAAAAGTCTTTAGTTGAAGAATAAATATTGTTAGAAAAAAAAAGGGAAAAGGAACATGCATGAGTATTTGTTTATGCCACATACTATGTGAGGCAGTAGGGTGACAGCAGTGACCAAAAGGGACAAAAATAAGAGAGAACAAGGAAACTGGAGATGATGTGCATTTTAATGTTGAATACACATTAGATTTATCAGGGGCAATAGGGGCAAATAGCCAACAGGAAATAAGGGAACATTTCCATCTCGTAGTAGAGGGAATGACATTATTTTGGGCTGGACTGTCCTACATAAGTATTATTTAGCCCTTTTTTTCATTTCCTCTCTTCTGTTTCCTTTATTTTGGTTATGACAGTTAGGGGAAAACGTATTATCAAAGAACATTTAGTACAGACATATGTTAACATTTCAAATAATGCTGTGGATGGCAGAAGTAATAACATGAATAATAACAGCTATCACATATTGAGTACTTACTAGGTATCAGGCATTAATTAGTCTAAGCATTTTACATGTGTTAACTCTTTAACCCTCATAACAATCTCATGAGGTAGATGCTATTATGATCCTGATTTTATAGATGAAGAGATTGAAGCTCAGAAATATTAAGAAAATTGCCCAAGGACATAATGCTAAAAAGTGGAAGATTTAACCTATTAACTGAAATTGGGTTTTGTAGATTTCATTTACCCTTTGAATTCCTTTCCTAATAACAATATGACTAAGAGTATTTTACAGGTATGAAAATGGTGACAAGCCATGCAGATCTCTGAGCCTGGAAGTGAAAAATTGGTATAAAAGATTTCTAAAAAATGAAGAGACATTGGGACTTAAGTTTTCAAAGTCTATTATCAAAAGCCAGAATCTTAACTGGCATAAACATCTACTTTTGAGATAGGAGGGTGACATTCCTTACTGTTATTCCATTCTCCATCTCACTTTATTTTTTAAAATACATTTTTACTTCCTGACTCCTCTATAACATGCTAAAATAAACCACAAAAAAATAAAATAAGGAGAGAAATCCTCTCCCTCCCCTGGCTACCTCCCAAGAAAAATACAAAAGAGCATTTGTTTGGAAGTCTTTTTCATGATTGTGTAGATTGTACCTATGCTGAAATAGAATATTCCCTTGAAAACCAGAAAAATAATTTGGTTTTCACATGCAGTGAACGACAACATCTAGTCTTTCCATTTGAGCATAGGTTTCAAAACACTAGCATTACAAGAAGTCTAAATAACTATAGTTTTCTCTTATAGGACCATAATGAAATGATAAAATAATAAAATGTATTGCTAATTCCTGTACAGCAGATCCTTGAATAATGTCATTTCTTTCAACGTTGTTTTGGAGAACCTTAACTCTTGTTTATATCAATTAGCTTATGGAAAACTTGGTTTTGTTATATGTCATGTTGCTTTAAGTTGCAGAACCTATTGACCATGTACTGAGGACTTAACTGTGTTCAGTCCCGTTCTTCCCTATTAGCACAATTCACTTCTGAACTTCAAGGGAGGGGCAGAAACTGTGGGACGCTTGCAGAGAGAAAGGGCAGGGACCTCCTAGACGACACCCCATTCCTAGCCTCCTCCCTTGCTCCACTTCCTCCATACTGAACTCCCATATTCCCACAGTGGCTCCCACCTTCTCCTTTCTCTGTTAACACTGTTCTCTCTGCTGAGAATCCTCTCCCACTTCCTTCATTTGCTTGCCTGGCTAACTTTTATTTCTGCTTCAAAACCTAGCTCAGGCATCACCTCATCTTGAAATGTTCTCTGACCCCTTTTCTAAGCCAGCTTCAGTGGCACAGTGCTCAGGTCTGATTTTTCCCTAGCCCTTAACATACTGTTAGTGCAACTGCTTATTTATTCTTCTCCCCACTAGACTAACTCATTTATTTAACAAACATTTCTTGAACACTTAGTATTTGCCCATGACTATGGTAGGTGTTATGGAGACAAGGATAAAAGAAACTCCTTAATACAGTTTCTGGAATATAATGATACTCAATTATTGTTTGTGGAATGAATGAATGGAATTAAGTCATTACAAAAATAGTGGGAGGAAGACCAGAGGAAGATTAGCAGTCACATGAAAATGACTTGTTTTTTCCGTTCTCCCATCTCTCATATCCTATTCTGTTGTGTAACACATTTCTAAGTCTCTTCTTTCCTTAAGTTTTTGTGTTCTCCTAGCAGTCTTTCTCCTACTGCTGTCTTTATTGGAAGCAGGAACTTTGGCATAGGAGGGACATCGTTCTGATGCCAGCACTGTCACTTATTAGCTGTGTGATCCTTGGCTCTGTCCTTAATTTCTCTGAGCTTCAATTTCCTCCTAAAATGGATATAACAAACACTGATAGCATGGAGTATTATGTGAAGATTAAATGTGATTCACATAGGGTTTAGCTCAAAGTCTGACTTAGAGAGTCCTCCTTTCTTTTGTCTCTGCCCTGTGCCCATCCTTCCTACAAGATTCATCAGGGCAGTAGTGACATGCAAGATGATTTCAGATGATACATGGAAGCACATTTTAAAAATTCGTATAATTATGTTGATATATATTAAAAATATGTAACTAGTCATTAAATCCATGAAACCTTTGACTTTTATAGAAACCATTGCTTTGGATATTAAAAAGTAAAAAGAAGAGGGGGTTAAGTTTTTTAAAATAGTTAGAAAATATTAGGAAGTCGGTACCAAGATAAGGGGAGAAAAAGAAATAGATGCCTGAAAAACACTGAAGAAAGTAAACAAAGGCAATGACATGAAAGGAGAAAAACATTTAACACAGAAGCTACTATATTTATTGGGTTGTCGGAAAAGTCATGACCCATTTTTGCAATGAAAAACATAGAAAAAATACGTCATGACTTTTCTGACAACCCAATATTATGCTTGCTCTCAGCACTTGATAACTGACAGGTAACCACAGTTATACTATACATTTCTCCAATGTCACTTGTTAAAAAAAAAATCCAGACCTGGAGCTGCAAAGATTCAGGCTTTAGATGCATGATTATGTCGTTGGCTTTCTTAGGATACGATTAGTCTGTAATAGACCAAGATAGTCAGCTTTAGGTCCCTAGAAGTCCCTTGTCCAGTTCTGCCCATGATAAAGTACAAAGTGAAAGAGAATTGTTCATGTATATTTAAGAATAATTAATGCCCAAATAGAACTTCCAAAGATGTATGTTCCCCACACTGTGTACCTCCATTTCCCGATCTGTAAAATGGGTATAATAATGGAATCTATCTCACAAGGTCATTATGAAAGTAAATGTTTACATAAAAGAAGCACTTAGTAATATATATATATATAATATATATATATATATATACACACACACACATATATATATATACATACATACACACATATACACATACACACACACACGCAGAGGGTGCCAAAAAATGTATACATGTTTTAAGAAAGGAAAACTGTATTAAAATTCTAATATTCAATATATACCAATAACAAAAGATGAATATAAGTCACATTGACTTCTGCAGTTACAAGAGGTGCTCAAAGGGGTTACCGTCAGGGTCCAGACATTTCTGATTATGGTGAACTACTGCTTGAACAACGTTGACCAAAGTGTCCACTAGTATACATTTTTTTGGCACCTCCCGGTATATATATAAGCCACTACGATCATTAATGTAGTAAGACTAGGCTCCTGGAGCACAGAATACTGTGTACTCTGTCAGCAGAGCTCACTTCCTATCCCTGCAACCTGGAAAGTTATTTATCTCCTTATGCCAGTCTTCCTGCTTTTCGATATTCGTAATAAAATCAGCCCAGTTAGAAGCTTCCTGTCTCTGAACACATATGGTATTAAGTAATTTGGGAAGATCAGATATTTTTCTTAAGTGTCTCTGTCTTTATAAACTTCTAACCAGAATATTGATTTTTCTGTAGCTTCATTTGTTTGAATTTGAGAAGCTCTCTCTCTCTCTCTCTCTCTCTCTCTCTCTCTCACACACACACACACACACACACACACACACACA